GGGGGGGGGGGTCCTGACTAAATTTGTTCCATAGCAGGAAGAGTACCCTGAAAGGACTCTTACCAGCTGGGGGTGGGGCTCAATTCACTGTGAATGTGCCTGGCTTCATCTAGTTAGCAGCAGGAGGCAAGTGTAATGGGCTGAGGAGAAGCTAGAGGATTCTGGAAGGAGAGGGATTTCAGCCCTTATCCTGTCCCACCTCCCAAGCTCCCTCGTCAGTGTGACCTACTACACCAACAACCAGACACCCCTCAAGCATTTTTCTCATGGGGCTAGCTACTGGGCCACCATCTGTTCTCGGGCACCGTCTCCCAGGGCTGGTGGTTCAGACACAGAAAGGGGACTTGAGGCTGCAGGAGTAGAGACTTTATCCTTTTGCCCAGATCAGGACAGCCAAGCCTAAAGCGATCTTGGGACTGTAAACCAGTAGATTTTAATCCTGCTTACTGGGCAACAGTGCGATTTCCTGTTTCAAGGCACTCTCAGTTCTTTATCCTGTCTCAACAGTCACAAGTCCCCTGATTGTCAAGCTCAGCACCTTGCCAGTCTTTATTTTCTACTCTAGGGGCCCGAGAGCTCCACAGTCTCCCTGAAGTCCCGTGTCAGCCAAGAGTAGGTCTGTAGCCCACCTTCCTCAGGAAGTTTGTGGTGGTCTTAATTCACACAGGAAGCCTTAGCGACCACTGCGGCTGGAGGGGAGACCTGGCCCTACCTGCTGCATCTCTTGTGCTTGTCCTTTCTAAACTTTACAGCTGCCCTTTCCCAGGCAGATGTCTGGCTGCCCAGACCAGCGCACTGGAATGCTTCCTGAGGAGCCCCACCCCACCCTAGCCCAACCCTGCACCTCTCCACCTCCTGCTTCCTCACCCCTCTCTACTGTCCGCCTCTCCCTCCTCTCCCCTCCCATCTCCAGCCTGACTCCTTTGTTTTTTAATGGTTCATAAGCAAAAAGCAGGACGTGACAGCAAACCCCCTCCTCACATTCTGACCCCCTTCTCAGCTCCCTGCGGATGAAAGAAGGAAGGATGGAAGAAAAGGAAGAAGGGACAAAGAAAGGCAGTCAGGTGGAACACGAGCAGCAGGTTAGAACAGCTCAGAGACGATGGAGAAGCGCCTGCCAGAGGGCTCGGCCAGGCAATGAGAGAGGGCAGGGCAGACAGAGAGAGCTCGGGGTCAGCTGAGAGGCCACGGGGCTGCGAGGCTGCCCTCTGTGTGGGAGCAGAGGCTGGCAGGGCCCTGGAGCTAGCCAAGGGGGTGGCAGCCTTGCAGATAGCCACATGCCCTTTTGGGGCAGGGTAGGTGGGAAGCATGGGCGTCCGAGTGTTTGTCCTCTCTGGGCAGGTCAGACTATGGTGTGGGCAAGGCCGGTAGAACAAATGGAAGCCTGGTCACTTAGTGTGCGTATCTGCAAGGCTAGAGAATGGGCAGCTGCAGAAAGATGGGGAGGGGAGGGTCAGAGGATGGAATACCCACCCTGGGGGCTTGTCAGCTGCTGGGGCAGGAAGCTCCTCCAGTGTAAAGGTGCCTCCTCCAGATACAGGTGTGTGGGGGATGGGGGCCGTGGGGGTGGATGGTAGAAACTAAACTCCCCTGGAAGATTCTGGGGCTTACAGAATTTAGTTAGGCTGGTGGGGCTCCTTCCTCAGACATTTAAGTGTACTCAGCTTGTGTGTGTGTGTGTGTGTGTGTGTGTGTGTGTGTGTGTGTGCGCGCACGCGCCTGTGCATACACACACACACACACGCAGATGTGCACACACAACCAGTGGTCCTTGCAGGCCTGGCAGGGGAAGAGGGGTACCTAAGGGACCAATGAAGGAGGGCCAGACCCTACCAGTCTTGTAGGGCAACTGCATGCTCCCAGGTGACAGGAGTTTGGCAGAGGCCATGTGTTGCTGCTCTCCACCACTCCCTTCCCAGTCTCCCTTCCGGGCAACAGAACAGCCAAGGATGCTACTATGGCCACTGACTCGACCCGGCTGACGGTACCCACCTGTGTCTCAGAGTAGAACTGCTCCACAGGTGTTCAGTGGTGGTGAATCTGCAGGAAGCAGACTGCCAGGCCTTTTTACTGAGGTGCTTGGCTGGATTCAAACTGCCACCCTTTTGGTTAGTAACTCTGTGCTTCGCTGTCTGCAATACCCAGTGACTTTTCTCTAGGAAAACTGTCTAACACAATCCCAAACCAACTCATTTCACCCGGCCCCCTTTCTCTGTGTGTAGCCCCAAGCCCACAGCCAGTGTTCCAGATAAACCAGCTGCTCTGGGGACAGTTCCACCCTTCCAGCTGGCCTATTCTTGACTCTCCAGCTTCCCCCAAGAGGGGTCCAGGAAGGCAGGTCTGCTCCAGAAATGATCTCTTGAGATTTTAGGGGTGATTCTTGGGAAGGATTGTGGGCCCCTCCTAGGGAGGGTGGGACGATTTGGGGTGGGGACTAGCGGGCTCTCAGGTAATAGTGAGTTATTATTAGGGTATCAGTGAGGGAGAAGCACTCTGCTGGGGAAGTGGCCTTGGGGGAGCGTGGGGAGGTGGCCACAGAGGGTGCTGTGGGCTTCATGTCCATGGCATTAGGCTAGGAGTTCGGCCTTGAAGGGCAACCAGCTGGGGTAGGATGGGTCAGGGAGAGATAGAGCTGGCAGCTTAATTAGGCGCTGGAACAGTGGCATTACCCATGCTAGCAGTAACTTTTAATTGTATCTCTTGAAATTGGTAAAATGGTGAGTCGGGCTGGGGAGGCATTGATTAATACCTGAGAAGAGAAACAACAGAGACGGTGAGAAGAAGGACAAGCGGGGCACAGAATCACTCACCTCGGCGACCAGGCCTCCACTTACCTCCACCGTGCTCTCTGCGGGCTTCTCCCCCAGCGCCACGTCCCTTTTGGCTTTGAATGCAAAGGGCACAGGGCTCAATCTCCATCAGCCTGGACACAAATCCGTCCCCTACCCTCTCTCCCTCACCATCCCTGCAATTAATGGTGTGTGGGCAGGAAGACCTCCTGTGCACACCACCCTTCTCAACCTCAGTGCAGCCTGGGCAGTGTATGGAAATCAAAAGCCCAGCCTTCTAATTCCACTCCTGCCACTTTAACTTTGAGCAAGATGCCTCTGAGACTAAATCTCTGATACTGACCTCGTGAAGCCTAATTTACTTCTAGTCCTAGGCTTCCAGCTACAGCCTTGGAGAGCTGGCTTACGGAGTGGGCTCTGACTCTTTGTTTTCAGAGCGCTGGGGTTCTGCACAGTTACCATATTCCATCCTTGCCCCTCTCCCTGAAACCTGGTTGAATAAACCAACTGCAACTCATTATGACCTCATGTGTGTCAGAGTAGAACTGTGCTCCCTATGTCTGAAAGGCCTGGTTTTTCAGAAGAATGCCAAGCCTTTCTCTTGAGGTACATCTAAGTCGACGTGAAGCACCCATTTTCCCCTCAACAACACAGTGTGCTAGCACTGGAAACACGCAGGGACTCTTCCTAAAGTGGGGGAACCTTAAATCAGCTGAGGTCGGTAAATGAGCTCACCACACTTCCTGGCCCAGTGAGAGCCTGGGAATGGCCCTGCCATGATGAGGGTGGTTCTCAAGAGCTCAGCACTCACAGCACCAGGGGCTGTGTGGACCTTTTTTGTCTCACTTACCCTTGGCTCCTACCCTCAGAACCAGCAGGCATCTCAAGGCCCTTCAGCAGGAGCTGCTGAGCTCTCAAGCACACCTATCGACAAAGGGGCTAGATACCCCTCACTCATCCCTTCGTACCAGGGGGAGCTGCGCTGTTGTCTGAGGTCATGAGAATATCCTACTGTGGAGGCTTCTCTTAGAAAAGTCCCTGGGGATGTGCATCTTGTCCTGAGGGGTTATAGCTTCTAAAGGAGGCAGGATAGGGTGTGGGCTGTGGGATGGTGGGAGCTGTGGGATGGTGTGAGGGAAGAAATCACAGCTGTTTCAACAGGCAGTGATCCATGCACTACGACCTTACAGAAATAGAGGGGCTACTGGAAAGAACAAAGAGGCTTGATTGCAGCCTAAACTTATGTACAGAAGGCAAATCTCCACATAGCAAAAAAGAGCCCAAATATTTCTTGGAAAATGAATCGCCCTTCCTAACTGAAGTGACCACTCCCCTAGATATCTCCTGTGTCAAGTCTGGCTGCATGGCCAGCTGCTGACGTTTCCAGGATGAAACTCTCTGGAATTCCTCTGCTCAAGTTGCTGTCTTGCTATGCTGACTTACCAGTGCACACAGCAGATTTTCAGTAATTGCTGAATGTAACAATAAATGACAGAATGAATTAACAACCAGTTTGGGGGGGGTTGCTGGGGTTTTGTTGGAATATGATTTTTATCCATTTCTCCCTCTAATTCTCTTTTGTTCAGGGCTGGTGGCAAGAGGTGGGTAACTCTTCCCATGACTGCAGCAGGCTGGGGCTGTGGTCAGGGGCAGGAAGAGAAAAGCAGGAGCGGCCAGCGGGAGGAAGGAAACAGGTCTAGAAAATGTGGGCAAAGGAGAAGCCAAGTCTACAACTCGTTTGAATTGTCTGGGATGAAACTTTTGATTTGAAGGAATCATTTAATAAATTGGGTTGGAGAGCTCATCTGGAATTTCGGGTACACTGACTCTGGGCCGGAGAGAAAGGCATGTCTAGGGCTTCTTAGTGAAATGACCTTTCAAGGTGAAGAGCAAGAGCTGAAAACCTGGCTCCTCTTCCTGGCTCTGGGTTCTGAACCCACAGGGCCTTGTGCAGTAGATGCATTTCTTCCTCACCTTCCCCCTGACTTTCACTGCTATGGCCCCATTGCTACAGCCTTATGAAAAATAAGCCTAGAGTTCCTCCACAGAAACAAAGTGCCGTGGAGACAAGCACCCATGCAAATTTCCTAGAAGCCAAGTGCAAGGGTGTGAGGAGGCTCTGTGGGTACAGTGCCCAGGCCATCTGTGGCCTGGGGACCCAGGAGCTCCTGGGCAGGGCTGCCACTTACCTGTAGGTGATCCTTGCTTGGACTGTGGGTCTACCTGGGCTCCCCCGGGCTTGAAGGAGAGGGTCTTTGCTCCCTGCTGTTTCTCCAGCTCCCCTAGGGGATGGAGAGGCCCATGAACAAAGGGAAAAATCATATCTTAGACCATGCAGAGCCAAGAAAAGGGACAATGATGGAGAGAAGGAAGAGAAAGAAAAGGAAGGACACACTCCTCTCTGCCATCAAATTAGCTCTGAACTTGGCCAGAGAGCTGAACGACAAGTTTATCTCAGAGCCTCAGATTCTTCATCTGTATGTAGGGATGATAACAACTAATTGAACATCACAATAGAGAGACAGTAAAGGCAGTGAAGAGGGAGCAGCCTGCCTGGTCTGACACTTGTTCATTTTGTAGCTTTGCGCAAGTTCTTTAACTTCTCAGCGCCTCACTTGACAGACAGCAGGCCCCCCCATTCAAAGTGCTATAAAAAGAGTATGTGATAAATGCATTCAAAGCACTTAGAACAGGGTCTGGTTTTTATTACAAAGTGCAGGAAGCACTTGGGATTGTGGCCTAGTGACTGTGTCCCATCTCCTCCTCGTCCCTATAGCCAGCAGGCTTGAGCTGCTGTCAGGATTGCCAAGCCATCCCAAGGAGGAAACCCCACCTGCCTGCACGCCAGGACATCTGTTCTGCTGCTCCACTTTAATTCCTCTCACTGGACTCTAAGCCTGTTTCTTCTTGCTCTTCCCTCAGTGGTGTTAGAGATCTGCCAGTTACCATCCTTGGAGACCTGACAGTCATTATTAAATCACTCCTCCAGCTTCTCTTTTCCAGGAGACATAATTCAAGTTCCTTTTATTAAAGCGACTCTCCTGGGTCCCATTTTCTGTCTCTCTGGTTGTCTATAATCCAGGAACACTGAACTACAAACCCCCAAGCCAGAACCATCTGCACTGATCGCCTGAATCACACCATCAATCAATACTAAATATTTTTCCTGAGCCGAGAGTTGTTCCTTTCCCCCAGAGGAGCTGTCTTGTCTTCGGAGAAATTAGTATAGTGATTACAAGTAACCTAGGTGCAACTTTTGTCATTGTGTGAGTTTCACCAACTTCCTTAAGCTCTGAGCTTCAGATTCCTCATCTGTAAAATGAAGATAACAAGGCTTATTGGAATAATGTAGAGGAGACCTGATGACACAACGGTTTAAGCACCTAATTGCTAACCAAATGGTCAACAGTTCAAAGTGCTGCTTTGAACCACAAGTTCAGCCCAGTGTGATACCGCTGCTGATAATCTGCATATCTACTTCCAGAGGGACTAAATCCAAATCATCATAGTAACGAGATCTCCAGATGATTCTTACAGATCTATAACCTGGCACACAACAACAATCCTAACCTACATCAACAAAAGAGCGAACCAGACTTGTTACTGCCGAGTCAATTCCAATTCATAGGACCCCTTCTAGGACAGCTCCTAGGGTGTCCTAGGACAGAGAATTGCCCCATAGGTTTCCATGGCTGTAATCTTTATGGAAGGAGTCCTGGTGTAGTGGTTAGAATGCTTGGTTGGTAACTTTAAGAGGGCAGTTCAACTCCACCAGGAAGAGAAAGGTGGAGTTGGCTTCCTTAAACGTGACAGCCTAGGAATCCCTGTGGAGCAGTTCTCCTATAGGCTCAAGGTGAGTTGGCCTCAAAACCAATGCAGCGGGGTTGGGTTAGTCTTTGTGGTATCAGGAAGCCACGTCTCTCTCCCTCAATGGCTTGTGGGTTCCAGCTACTAACCCCTTTGCTTAGCAGGGAGCACTTAACCGTTATGCCTCTAGGACTCCTCACTTTAGAAGTAAATAATACAGTCAAGTCAGCAATCAGCCAGTGGCCAGGCAAGTAATGAGTGCACATGATTGTTCCTGCTTTTATTTTTTCCTCCTGACTTCCTTTCTTCCCAGTGCCTTAGCCTTCATCTGCCTTCAGTGACTTCTACCCTCTTTCTCTGTCTGAACAAGAAGAGCAAAAGGTAAGCCTCCCTCCCTGCTCACTTGCCCTCTAGACAAAAGTGGATATTCACCCTTTGACATAACAGGTTCTGACAATACCCACTCCTTTGTATTTGGGAGAGACATGATGTGGGGCTCTCAGGGGCGACATGGAAAGAGCTTCCTCCAGCTTTGCTAGTGCCAGTCAGTGCCGATGGTTCCCCAGGGCTGTGCGGAGCCATCTGTGGCACTTTGAAAACAAAAGATGCCATTTCAGGGTGCGTCCTTGAGACAGTTTCAGAACGACAGACTCTCTGGATGCCCAGGCTAGCTCTTAAAGAGTCCGTTTGATACTCTGCTGAACTAAGTGTGCCACAGACTGAGAAAAGGGAGTTTACACGTCCCACCCCTACCTACGCCCGTTCCCTGCGCTGGTTTGGTGTGTTTTTTTGTTTCACCCTGATTTAGATTATTAGGAAATTACAAATCGAACCTCTTTTTTTATTCTCATGAAACATGTAAGACGCAGAATAGGACTCAAGTGTGACCTTCAGCTCTTCCCCTTCTGTTGTATATGATCTGGGTGTGTTCTGAGCGTCTCTGAGTCGCTTCTGTAACACGAGGACAGTGCACCTCCCTGGCAGGGTCACAGTGACGACCACTGTTGGTTGCGGTCAAGTTAATTCTGACTCTTTGTAGCCCCGTGTGTGCAGAACAGAACTGCTCCCATACGGGTTTCCAGGCTGTGACCGCTTAGAAGCATATTGCCAGGCCTGTCCTCTGATGCCCTCCAATAAGTGGGTTGAAACTACCAGCCAATCACCCAGAGTCCTCACTGTGAGAACAAACAGATTATAAATAAATCACTCCACACACAAGGAGTCCTACGGGTGTAGTGGTTAAACATTTGGTGGCTACCTGAAGAGTCAAGGGTTCAAATTCACCTTAGAATCAAAGGCCTGGCAAGGCGCTACCTTAAAGATTACGCCTAGGGAAGCCTATGGAAACCCGATGGAAGCCCCACTCTGACCTATTTGCTTATGGTGAGCTGGAATGGCCTGGATGACACAAAATGACAATACCCTACACGTAGGCAGAGCTCGACAGACACTATTTGAAAAGCATTGTCATATTGGTCCCTGCCCCCAAAGTTCTCCTGCCTTCCTTACTGCCTAGCAGATTTCTAAAGAGCCCTGGTGGGTCAGTGTGCAACTTACTGGACTAATTGCAAGGTTCATGGTTTGAACCCACCAACCACTCTGCAGAAAATGATGGGCCATCTCCTCTCATAAAGACTTATAGCCTCAAAAGCTGGATAGAGAGTCACTTTCAGTCAGAACCAACTTGATAATTGTGGGTTTGAGTTTCATTCTTTATATTAATTTATTATATTTTACTTAGTATTTATTATTATTTATTTTATTTATTACATTTATATAATTTATATTAACTTAGCAATGTATTTCAACTAAGTGGTCATATAAGGTAGAACTTGGAGTCTATTTTTATTTTCTGTTCAGTTTCTGAATCCTTTGTGATTTGATTTTCCCTTAAAAGTTATCTGAAGCCCCTGCAATGCTTCAAAGGTAATGGCTTATACATGGACTCGCATGATAGGCCATTGCTGCATATTTTCTTTTATCAAAAAGCAACTTCAAACCACTCAGATGGGTGGAAAACACTAGTCACTGAACACTCAGCCTCCACTCGTGGCGACCCCAGGTGTGGTGAGAGCAAAACTATGCTCCGCAGGGTGTTCACTGGCTGACTTCTCAAAAACAGATAGTCAGGCCTTCCTTTTGATGTGTCTCTGGGTGGACGTGAACCTCCAACCTTTCCGTTAGCAACCGAGTGCGTTAACTGTCTGGACCACTGAAAGACCCGAAATAACCACATATTTTTTAAAAAAATGCTTGAATCAGAACCATCAAGAACAAAGACACTATGTCCTAGAGGAATATTCACACATAGGAAAAAAAAAATAAGAGTAGTCTAAAAGAAAACTAAACCTGGGTTTGTAAAACAAAACAAAAGCAACCAACCAAAAATCAATGCAATGAAAAAGTAATAGGAGGGTGATATCCTAGATTAAAAAATTACAGAAATAAGACAGCCATATGTGATAAACAAAGGTTGATCGCATCCTGGGAAGTTATAGGGTGAAAGACTATAAAAGACCTTTTGGTGGGGAGGAAAGAGCCTGAACTCTTTGGTGGGGACCACTTTGCTCACATTCCTGCCTTGGTCAGCTCACTTGCACATCTGGGTCAAACAGCAGAATTCTCTGTCCTAAGGGGCTCAAGCGCAGCCCCCTGGGTCCAACAAGGCCTGCTCACTCTAGTACAGCTGGCTTCAGCTGAGGGACATGAGGAACAGTGCACATGCAGCAGGCCCTGCTGCCACCTGTGACAAGGCAGTGGGGCCAGGAGAGCTGGAGCCAGGGGAGGAAAGAGGGCTGCGGGTCACATCACCCTCACTCTAGCTGGGGGTGTGTCTACAAGCAGGGCATGTCCCTTGCTGACTGGTGTCCGCTCACCCCCGCCAACTGACTTGGCATGCAATGTATCCTTACACTCTATCCGGATCTGCTCCAGCTCGGTCACCTCAGCAATGGACTCCTTCAGGTCCTCCACAAACTTCTGCATCTCATCCGAGCCCAGGGCACAGAAATGCAGCACCTGCTTCTTCTCAGAGCCCGAGAGCGGGGTCACCAGCGTGATGCCATGGGAGTAATCTGGAAACCATATCCCAGATCTGGTGAGAAGCTGGCACTGCAAGCTGGAGCCCAGTAGAGGTGGGGCACAGCCTGGGCCTTTGGCACCCTGACCTCCCTCTACCCCCCACCCACTACAGCCACAGCACTTTTCCTCACCTTCCCCCTAATCACCTCCTACTATCTGACCATCTCCTTCCCATTCCAGACTTACATTCATTCTCAAAGAGGTGGAACTGCATGCCCAGCAGGCCGACTGACTTGCAGAAAGTGTACGTGGAAGAGCTCTTCTTCTTCGGGCAGAGTTTAAGAATCTGTTCAAGAGAGGATGCTAGATGTTGACTGACAGGTACAAACTTACATGTGCACATGTGGGGAGACATTAGCACCCAGGGATGCCAGGCATAATCTCGTGAGTAAACAAACACATAAAGCTATGCACATGCACCCATACTGAAATGATGCTTCTTCCACAAACCCCTCCAGCTATTCCCACTGTGCTTACTGGAAACTAAATCCAAATTATCTGCTCGGGCCTATAGGCATCACCTGGTCTGGTTCCCGCCTTATTCTGGTTTCATGCTGGAACCACACTGCCCTTCTCGCTGCAGCTTGAATACGGTGAGCTCAGTTCCACCATAGGCTCTTTGCACGTGCTGTTTCCATTTTCACAATTCTCTCCCCAAAGCTTTTTTTTTTAAATGACTTAATTTCTATTTGAGTGCAAGTTTACAAAGATATTGTCTTTCATTCAAGTTCAATAATCCAGACATATTTTATTTTATAACATTAATTACTCTTGATTAATGTAATTCATTGCACTATCTCATCAAATACTTATTTCCACGTTAATTCTTTTACCTCTCCAAATCTTTTTATGTGACTGAGTTGTTCCCATTACTCAGGTCTGAACTTGAATGTTGAATGGATATTTATTGACAAGTGAAGGGTGCGCACCCCTCAGATGTGTGAGCACACAAGCACATGCACGTCTGTGTCTCCCCGACACAGGTTATGCACACGTCCACCATGCAGTCTTTCCCAAAACCTCCCCCATGGGAGACGAAAGCACGTGACCACACCCTCCCTGCTCCAGGCTTCCAGTCAAGTGGGACAGACCAAGAGTCGGCTGTCGAGTTCATTTCCCTCATGAACAGATAGTGTTACCTCTCTGTGCCTCAGTTTCTAAGCCTATAAAATAGGCATAATCCTATCTACTCGAGCTACTTTCTAGCTCATGATGTGACAGCACCATGAGAACTTTACACTGATCACTACACAACAATGTCTTGTTGGAAGGAAACGGTGATCAAGGTGGCACTGGTTCTGAAAGGGGACCCTTCCCTGTCCTGGGCCTGGCTGCTCACCACCAGCAGGTCGTTGAAGAGGAACACCTCCCTCTGGTGTGCCGCCTGCTTCTGTAGCTTGTTCACATCCGTCACCTCAAAGAGCCGGCTGCAGCAGACCAGGCGGCGGTGGGGCACTGACAACACCTGGAATGGAGACACAGTGCTCAGCAAGGGGGGCCCAGGGCACGCGGGCCCACCAGATGTCTTAGCTACCTAGAGCTGTTGGCACACAAACACCACAAGGGGGTGGCTTTAACAACCAAGAACTTTATCCTTTTCACAGTTGCTGGTTCTAGGGGAAGTCTTTCTGGGTAGGCTTTAGAGGAGGGGCCTTATCGCCTCTCAACATCTGTGGGCCTGGTGTCCCTGGGGATCTCTGTGGATCTTGACATCAGTCTTCCCCCTGGGTCTAGTCTAGGCAATTCTTGGCACAAACAGCCCAGATCCAAAGGATGTGCTCTAGTCCCAGCTCTTCTGTCTTGGTGTACTGAGGTATCTCCTTCTCTGCTCACTTTCCTCATCTTTTAGCTCTTATAGGATAAAATGTGATGCAAACCCAGGGAAACTCTGTATCGTGATCTGAGAAAGAACATTGCATGTCCCCCTAATCTTCTCACAACTGATTGGCTGATCACATCATTGGAGATGGTTACACCATCACATAACTGCCAGACCTCTGGCAATCATGATCCAGCCAAGATAACATGTGTTTTGGTGGGGCACAATTCTATCCATACTACCACTTCATCTACTTTCCAGAATGGCAAACAAAGGCTCGCAGAGAAGAGGGGGCCTGAGGGTGACCCCAAACGTCTTCCTCCTCTTTTGGGCTCTACATCTTTAATCACATTTCTTGGGAAGCTGGAGAAGAAGGGATTCATCTCACTGGAGTAAATGAGGACAGAAAAAGGAAATGAAAAAAAGCTTCCAGATTATTCAAATCCAGGCGTGGCCAACTTTCTACCCTCTAGCACCTGGAGGTGTGACGCCTCTGCTTCTTCCTGTACTGCACATCGAAGGCAAGTGTACAAGAATTGGAGTCCTAAGCCCTGGTACCTGTGAACATGACTTTGTTTGGAAATAGGGTCTAAGATGATGATGAAGTCATGCTAGCTATTGTAGAGAGATTCACCATCTAATCCCAGTGGTATCTTTATAAAAGAGGAGAGACAAGCAAGATTTGGTGGCTTAGTGGCAAGAAGCTGTGTTGCAATCCTGAAAGCATGTGCTTGAATCCACCAGATGCTCTGCTGGAGAAGGAGGGGCAATCTCCTGTGCCAGTCGGGTCCAATTCAATGGCACACAACAAGGAAAAAATAAAAAGGATCTCTAAAAAAAAAAAAGAATAAAAAAAATTTTTTAAAAGAAGAGAGACAGACAGAAGCAAAGTGAAAACAGATACAAGAGATTGAAATTGTACTGCAGCTCAAGCCAAGGAACCCACAGGGCTACCAGAAGTGAAGAGAGACAGCAAGAATCTTCTGCGGGCTTCAGAGAGTGCATTGCTGTTGTTGTTAAGTGCCATCAAGTTGAGTATGACTCACAGCAACCTTATGAACAAAAGATCTGAACCCTGTTCTGTCCTGTGCGAGTCTCACACTTTCTGACACACAAGAGCCCATTGCAGCAATCACTGTGTCAATTCACCTGGTTGAGGGTCTTCCTCTCCTTCACCAACCCTCCAACCTTCCAAGCATCATGTCCTTCTCCAAGGAATGGCATCTCCTAGCAACATGTCCAAAGTATGTGAGGTAAAGCCTCATCATTCTTGCTTCCAAAGAACACTTTGGCTGCACCCTCTTCAAGATGTATCTGTTCATTCTCTTGGCCGTTCATGGGATGTTCAGTGCTCTTCTCCAACACAACAGCTCAAAGGCATCAATTTCCCCCCTATTATCCATATTCATTGTCTAGCTCTCAGATGAATAGCAAGTAGTCAGAAAGACTATGATCTGAATCAGATGCACTTTAGTCCTCAAACTGACATCATTGCTCCTCAATAATTTGGTGAGATCCCTAACTACAGATTTTTCCCAGTGCAACGTGTCTATTTCCTGATTGCTCAGAAAGTGCCTGGCCCTCCTGAATCCCGAATTTGGATCTCCAGCCTCCAGAATTGTGAGACAATGCATTTCTAGTGTTTAAAGCCACACAGTATTGTGTTACAAGAATCCAAGGAGGCCAATGCACAATGATATCTGAATAAACTCCAGTGTGTAAAAACAAGGCAATCTGTGCCCAATCTGAGAAGATAAAGACTCTGAAGGAAAAAAAGGCTAACCCTGCATGAACAGGGTAGATTAAGGCCAGTGCAAAGCCAGCCTCTCAAGGAGAGGGATCTGGATACTAGAATATCCATCTCCAGAATTGGAGAGAACCTAGCTGCCATCAAGTCAGCCCTAATTCACGTAAATTGTAAAATCTTATTTCAAAATTAGAATTGCATTCCATGGGGCTTTCAATGGCTGATTTCCTAGAAGGAGATAACCAGGCCTTTCTTATTAATCACCTCTCAGTGACCTCAAACTTCCAACCTTTCCGTCAGCAGGCAAGAACATAAACTCATGTGCACCACTCAGACTCCAGAACCTGTAACATCCTATGTACTTCAGACATAAAGAGCCCTTGCCACTTATAGTGTGGTAATCTATAGATAATGCTCACTTTAAACATCATTGAACAGCTTTGAAATATATTGACTGTAATATGACAGACTGGGCATCCCAATGGGTTTAGACTTCAGAGTCTAGAATCTCTACTTTAACCTTTTCCTTGATGAGGCTCTTCCAAGAATGCCTCTACTGTCAATCTCATGATTAGAAAAGATCTCTCTCATGGCTAACCATCTGATTCAACCCTGAATCACTGAGAAGTCTTTTATTTTTTTTTAAAGAAAATTTTATTTTATACTGGTTTACTTACAAAGTTCATATACATTTATTTTCACATCAGATCTTTCCCCATTTCCTTTACCCACCCTGCCCTCTACCATCAAATTGTGCGACCCTGTGATTATCACCCTCCAATCCTCACACCTCTGCTCCCCCCTCCCCACCTTGGAACCTCATAAATGTTTTACTAGTTATCCTTCTACAATAATGGTCTTATACAGTATTTGTCCTTATGGAACTGGATTAGTTCACTTAGCATAATGCTTTCCAGTCCCTCTCAAGTTAGGTAGTGATTTACAAAATCATTGCTTGCTCCTGTGTGCTACATAGTATTCTATTGTGTGAATGTACCATATTTTCTCAATCTATTTGATTGTGGTTGGACATCTGGACTGCTTCCATGTTTTTGAGATGGTGAATAATGCTGCTATGAACATTGTGTATAAATTTCCATTTGTGCTTCAGTTCTCATTTTTCTCGGGGTATATTCGAAGCAGTGGAATAGCTGGGTCACATGGGATTTCTATGTCCAGCTTTCTGAGGAAACACCAAACTGCCTTCCAGAGTGGTTGGACCATTTTACAATCCCACCAACAGTGTGTAAGAGTTCCTATCTCTCCACGTCCTCTCCAACATTTAATGCTGTCCTGTTAACCTTTGCCGCTGCTACTGGGGTGAGATGGTATAAGAAGTCTTTTTTGACATCTCACAGCATCTCTCCTGCTGCAGTAACTGATAGTAGGAGGCAATGAGGCAAGTAGTCAAAAAGGTGGGGAAAGAATGCAGAGCATGGTGCATAGTAAGCATCCAATAACCACTATTTTGAGAGAATACATAAAAAGAAAGTGCTTCTAAAAGGGAAGAAGGAGAACGAGAGGAAATTCCGGGAAGATGGGATCGCTTGGTGGCCACAGAAGAGGAAGGAAGAAGACCTCCAGCATGGTGAGCACGCTCCGCAGGGGACACTTACTGTCTTCATGCCCACGATGGACTTCTCCACCTTAGTGACATACGTGACATGGTCCTCATTGGACTTGAGCTCCTTCTGCTGGATCCTCTCATAGATGCCCACCACCAGCTCCCGGGGGATGTCAACGCCATCATCCACACCTACCGACATGGAGGAGAGGTTTAGGGATGGGAGGCAGAGAAAAGAAACCTCCAGATCAGACTGATGCTCCTGTAGGATGGCCTTGACTTTGCCACATCTCCATTCGTCAAAGGCTGCTGCCCACACCCACTAAATGAAGAACAACGACCATAAAATTCTAATATGCTCCCAACACCCTCCATGCCCAGCCTCACCTCCTGCTATTCCATACACAGAGCCTATCTCCCTTCCTGGGATGCTTTTCTCTTCCCAGACTTCATGTGCTTGCTTAGTGCTATCTCCCTGGGATGTCTTCTGGGTGTTCAAAACCATCCTCCTTGGATTTTTCCCTTCCTAAATCATCACCTCAACTCTATCTGGAGCATGATGTTCAGTGGCTACTTGTTGAACGATAAGATTCTCCTCTAACTGCGTGTGTGTGGAGTTGGACATTAGGTGACGAGGAGCGGGCAGGCCTGTGTGGTAATGCAGGTAAGTGAGACTCTATCCTGTCTCTTACTCCAAAGGAATGACCAAGTGCTGGCACCACCACCAACAGAAACACCGGCAGGAAAATATACCAACATGACAAGAGTTTCTTTAAGAGGTAGGAACAGAAGTGATTTAAAAAATTAAAAAAAAATCTTGTTTTACTTTAATAAGTGTGTGCTTCTCAAAACAAGATGTAAACTGAGGATAGCTTTGCTATGAGGTGTGTTCAACATTAGAAGAAGAAATACAGTAACCAGAGAATAAAGGGATAAATGAGGGGAGAAGGAGCTGCCCATAATAAAAGGCTGCTCAAACAGCTTTGGCAAGTGCCTTAAAAGAGGTTTCCCCAACTATTGACAGGACATTATGCTGCAGATGAGTAACTCCCTGCTCCTTCCTTATTTGATCTTGTTCCTTAAGGCTGGACAAATGAGCCAGCCACTGCCCTTGGGAGCCTGCAAGAAATCCAGCTGAGGGCAAGAAAAAGCAGGGATAAAACTGAGCACACAGGAGCTTCCAATTAAAGCTGGCAACTTGAACACCTCTGCTCTCATGGAATGCTCTAGGAAAAAGGAATCTTTTCTTAACAGCGCAAACCTGCGAAGACAAAGAGAACAGGGGAAGGCAATAGATCACAGGATTTAGAAAGTAGATGGTTGAATGGATGGATTAGAAAACCAGAGAAAGCTGAAAATTAAGCCAACAGAGAGGTTAGAAGTCACCCAACACACCACCGAACCCTCACAAGTTCTAGAATTTGTGTCAACAAAAACTCCGGAAAGCTGAGGCATAGGTTGGCTGGAAACAGAAAAAAGAAGCTAAAATAGTTTCCCTGTCCTCTTTGCTGGACATGCTGGTAGGAGGGGCTGGTCCATGGAAAAGACAACCTGCTTGGAAAGGTAGCAGGCCAGAGAAATAGAGGAAGACCCTCAACAAGACGGATTGACACAGTGACTGTAGCAATGGGCTCAAACGTGGTGTAAGGCAAGGCAAGGTTTCAAACTGTTGTTCACGGGGTTGCTATGAAGTCAACTCAATGGTACCTAACAACAACAACAACATCCCCTCTTTCACACTATAGAAGTTGTTGTTGTTGTGTACCATAGAGTCGGAACCGACCCATAGCTGACCCTCCGGTGGGTTTTCAGAGGCAATTAATAGCATAGGAAGAGATTGCCCATCCCTCTCCCACGGAGCTGGTGGGCTCAAAGCCTTCGGGATTGCAGCACCACATCTTGCATCTAGACATGAGGAGGTGAAACAAGTATTTTGGGTTTGGGTTCCAGCTAAGGGTGGGAGTTCTTGGAGGATGAGGTTGATGTATGAACACCGAGAGAATGCCCAATTCCATTTTCCAAAAAGATCACAGAACCCTGGCAGTCAGTCAGACTTGTATTTTTTTGAAAATAGATTGAGTATTTTTGTTTGTTTGTTTTATACTCCACAAGCACAAGAAAAAAATACCCAACATTAGGGTCCCTCAATAATTAGGAGTTCAGCCAAACCAACCTGCCATAACGGCCAAAAATCAGCACCCCCTACCCAACACACATTTTGAGATGGGCTTTTTTAGTGGCTCACCTTTAAATATGAATGAAAACCAAGTCTCATCAACTACATATAAAAAGTCTGTGACATAAAAGGTATACAGAGGAAAACAGAAAAAGGAACTCAGAAAAAAATAAAGGTAAACAAGGAGAAAGAAACAGAACCAAACACACCAATAAAAACACAGCACAAATATCTTCAGAGAGGTATGATATTATACTTATGAAATAAGGATAGAGGCTATAAAAGAGGAACATTCAGGAAATAAAACAAAAGAGCTCTTGAAAATAAAAAGCATGTCAATAGAAATATAAAACTTAGAAGAATGATTGCTGGGTGGGGGGCATTACTCATAGGGTCACACAATTTGATGGTGGGGGGAATGAAGGAAATGAAAAAGATCTGATGTGAAAAACAATGCATACAAACTTTGTAAATAAACCAGTATGTAAGAGGAAAAGCAACAACAACAAAAGAATGCCTGAAAGATAAAGCTGAGGGCTATCTTCCAGAAAACCTACGGAGCAGCCAAAAATGGCAGATAAAAATTAGAGGATCAAACAAAGAGATTTAACATCTGAACTCCAGGAGTTCCAGAAGAAGAGTGCAGAGAAAATTGAGGGTAAAGACTGAGTAAACTTCCCAAACATGGAAGACCTGTTTTTAGACTTAATAGGACAAGCATCCAACACAAGACACAACATTGTTAAATTTCAAGACTGAAAGGACAAACAGAAGACCAAAAAAAAAGTTTCAGAGAGAGGAAAATAAACCGAAACTATAATGTCAGGAAACAGAATGGCAGAGCAGCATTGACCACCAGAATAGTGGAATCGTGCCTTAAAAGTGCCAACTGGAATGTTTCCGGTGTAGAATCCTACTCCCAGACGAACTCCCAATCAAAGGTGAACATAGAAAAAGTCATATCCAGACAAGCAAATTCTCCAGCATTTTGCCGCCAATATACCTTTTCTCTAGAAGTTAAATTGAAAAAATGAGGCAACAATGAAATCCAAGGATTTCACCTAACAGGAAACCAATACAGGAACAAGGTCAAGGAGATTCCAGAATGAGGGTGAAGGGAGGTCCCGTAATGACAGCTGGGCTGTTGGCTTTGCAGCCTGTCTAGAATGGAGCAGAACTACTGTGTCCAAGAGAGACAGTGCCAAGAAGCTGAAACTCAGAATACCTCCTAGATTTAAATGTATTGAGAGGAGTACATAAGGTGGGGAGTTTGGGGAGAAGTTAGTGACAGGCTCACAGAGAGATAAGTAAATAGAGAAATTGTAGTCATATACTTTAAGACCTTGCTTTGGATTGTTTACCTAGTCTTGGTAATACAAACATTAGTCTAATACAAATGATGTTTCACGCCCCCACAGGGGGTGCATTATACCAAACCAAAGCCATGCAGTCTATTCTGGCTGATAACAGCCCTACAGAACAGCGGAGAACTTCTCCCAGAGCTTCCAGTGCTGTATTCCTTACAGTAGCACTGCCAAATATCTCCTCCTCGGTGGTGGGTCTGAACCACAAACCTTTTGGTTAGCAGCGGATCACTTAACCACTGTGCCATCAAAGTGTTCATTCAATGTACTATGTTGGTTAGAAAAAGGATGTGGCTAGTGGAGCACATAAAGTCATCTACAAATCTCACTTAAATAGACTCGGGTTTTATTTAAATCCTGTTTCTGAATATTTCCTCAGAAGCAGTGGTGTGGAAAGGGCTGGTGCCACCTAAGCACTAATTATGGTGTCAAGGCCCTGGGTTCGATGCTCTATCGACAGCTAGTGATGCATTAAAGCAGTCGGAACTCCTCGGATACTTGGAACAAAAGTGGGTTTCCCAGCCTGCTACGTAGGACCAGACTCGGAGACAATCACGCAATATTCCTTGACTAAGGTAACCATTGCAGACGACTCAACGGCACATAACAACAATAAGATAACCATCAACAGTCGGAGCTCAGGCTCGCTGTCTCCTTAGGAATGAACATGAACAGAATGTGGCCTGAACCACGGCTTCCCCTTTCCTAGGCCCGTCCCACCCCATCTACTCACCTCGCAGGTTTCGGATGAAGTCTTCCAGCATCATCTTCCGGTCAGGCTTAATGTTGGGGCTGTACATGTCGGTGTTGAGGAGGATGATGGCAAAGGCGAGGATGAAGATGGTGTCAGGGTTGTGGAATTGCTGCACTACCTCAGGGTTGCACATGCAGTAGCGCTGGCTGTGACGGGGAGACACAGATCAGGGTGCTGAGATCCCCTCCTTCTGCCCCTCTTCCACACTCCAGCAATGGGGAGGGGCCTATCCTGGGAAGACTCTTACCACAATCTAAATATGGTCACGATTGCTTGGCCCCTACTCTGGTCAAGGCTGTCCTTCACTAACAGGACCAGGCTGGTTTCACACACTCCAAGTCCCCCAGGGACCAGCCCCGCCCAGAGGAGATGCTCAATTCAGGTTTGCTGGTTGACATGGATGGGTGAGATATAAAACAGACTTGCAGGCCTGTCTAAGGCAGCTGCCAGCGCTGAGAAGTCTCTGTCTCTTTTCTTTCTTCCTTCCTTTCTATCCAGCACACCCCTGTCACTTACTCCAAGAGGGGTTCATTCTCCCCATTCCTCAGGTGACCCTCTGTTATATTCCCTATCCCTCAAGCTCACAGCAGCTCTGTTCACCCCCCAAACAATCGCCACACCGCAGACATGTGTTCGGGGTGTGTGAGGGGAGTGGAGCTTGCTGGGTGGAGGGGCCCTACCTGAAGGCCTCGATGAGCCGCTCCACCTTCTGGGCCTCCCCCTGCACCCGGATGTGGGCCTGGAACTTCCGCAGGGCCTCATCCAGCTCCATGTTGGAGAAGTCCATCTCGTCCACCACGCAGCTGAGGCCAGGTGAAGAGAGACGGGGTCATGAAGAAAGGTCACCTCCCTAAATCTCCCCAAACCCACCAAGGCTGGAGAGAAAGGTGTGGCTTCCCAAAGGCGGGGATGCCCCCATGCTGGTGGTGGAGGCAATACTTGAGCTCTGGAGCCAGAGGAGGGAACAGGAGCAGAACCATCTTACTCCGGCCTCCTGTGCCTCACTTCCTCCTTTCGGGCTCTCACTTTAGTCCCCTAAGAAAACACACTTGTACACTTTGTCTCACCTAATACAATAACCCTGCAAAGGCAGACAGCTCGCCATTTCACAGCTAGCATCACCACTTCACAGTTAAAAAACAGAGGTCCACAGAGTCTAGCAGATTGCCTAAAGTCACAGAGCTGGAGGAGGCTGAACACATATCTTGTGTCAAAGAAAGGTTTAAAAATGGAAAAAGTCGAGTTCACGCTCCTATTCTCTCAAAGATTTGGAAGAAGCCTGTATTCTTTCCTAGTTTAACCTGAAGTTTCTCATTTGGGTTTCTAGGGAATATCTCCTGTATGCCCCATCCCAGTTCAGCCTTAGATACAGTGACAAACGTGCCAAACATCCTAAGTCCTCCATTCATCCAACAGCCTCCCTCGCTAACTAGTCCTCTGTTGTCAGGGAAGGCTAGAGGAGCACGGAGGCCTCAGGAGAGTATATGACAAATCTGGCTTCATGAAGGAAGGGATGGTGTAACAAAGAGGGCTGAGAGCTGGGATTTCTCCCCTTTCACATCCACACTGACTTCCAATCTTCTCTCACCTTATAGTGAGGCCCACACTGTCCACTAGAGGGTGGACAGCTCCAAGCACGGTTCCCCAGGGAGGACCGCTACGTTGACCTGCCAAAGTATTACAAAACTGAGGGGTAGGTACCCATCCCCTATCTGCGTCCTCCAACCCATGTGAAGGACAAGAGCTGGATCATGTGCATGGCTGTGATCCCAGCATTTAGCTTAATGTGCAGTACGCTGATGGGGTTTGGAAAAAGTGTTTCCTGAGTGAGAGGCCATCACCTGCCTCATGGCCCCTCTGTCTCCATGTTAGGCCTGCTGCCCTACAGGATTCAGAGATCACTCCTCAGTCCTGGTTGTGAGGTCAGTATTTAGGAGAAAGCAAGGGAAGACTCCATGGGGTGATGGTCTGCGGCTTGGTGTTCAGAGGACTCTATCCCACTTCACTCCTTTCAGGGTGAACAAGGAGAGCTCACTGCAGACTCCAGGAGGGTCATGGCCATCTTCATGCCAGGAGCTCCTCCAAGCTCAGCCTCTTTGAGGCTTGTCTGCCTGGCATGACAAATGAAAAACAACAGCCAAAAAAAACAGGGCTAGGAGGTGGTCACCAGGAAGAATTTTGCCCAAGTCCAAGAACTAGTGATACCAATGTGTAGAGAGAGACAGAGGACTAAAAGCTTCCAGGCTGAGGGAGAGGCCACTCCACCTTCTGCCTCTGGATCTGGGCAGCCCTTGTTACCTCCACCCTGCACCTTGCTCAGCTGGAACGTAAGCTCCAAGGCATCGTGTGACCTACATCTGTGCGTCCTCATTGTCTGTCAATGGTATGAATCAAGGATGACTGAGCCGTTTAGGGCACTGTCTTGGGGCTGGTAACCCAGCAGGATGTGCCCAATGGGGACAGAAGGAAGGAAATTTGGTGAAGGTGAACCAGTGTGGTCACACAGCAAAGAGAGCAAGGGCTAAGGCCAGGGAGCCAGAGAGAGTGATAGCGTCAAATGGGAGGGAAGAGAGAACAAGAAGGGAAAGAAGACACAAGGAGAGAGAGAGGGGCGAGGAGGGAAAGTAGAGGAAGGGAGACAGAGAAACCAGCCTACAGGTAGAAATAGAGACACAGGGAGAGGGCAGCGAACAAAACAGAGACAGAGGGAGGGAAAGGGAGAGGCACTGTTACAGACAGACAAGAGAAACAAGACGGAGATGAATCTGAGGCAGATACGCTCATGAAGAGATTTGACATGAGAAAAACACCTTGGACTAGGATGGGTAGGGCAGAGGGGCCTGGGGATGAAGTACTGTCACATTGCACCCTCTTACTCCAAAATCCCCACTCTTAAGGAGTCAAGTCAAGGAGGAGAGTAGGCGGCCTCTTGGAGGACCCCTTGGTTCCTTCGATCTGGCCTCCAGTTGCCTCCACAAGACTGTGTGCATCACCCTCTATGTCTGCCCCTTCTCCCCACTGACCCTTGAGCCTGAGGTGCTGACACCCTGCTTCCCTCACCTGTGTCCTCTCCAAGGCTTATCATGATGCATTTTTGTCTAGTGTTCTGGATAAGGCCTCACCCCACGAGGTTGGAGGGTGTTTGGGGAGGCCTGGGAGCTTGGGAAAGGTGGCACAAGGAGGCAGCGGGAGCAGCTGGAAGAGGGTGGGATCTGCTCAGCCAAGCATGATGGCCTAGTTTCCAGCTCTTCACTCAGGTGACATGCAGCCCTCTCGTTCACTTGCTCACGCAATGCTGCAGCTAAAAGCTCTAGTAATGAGCCAAGAGCCCAAGAGCCAAGGACCAGGACGGGAGCCACAGCCAGGTGGAACCACGGGTCCACAGAACAGGAGCAAAGGCAAAATCAATCACTGCCCACAGAATGTGCTGGAGGATGCCAGGGGGAATATACGAGGGCCATGGAGCTGGAGGGTTCAGTATCAAACATCTTCCAGTATGTATCCCAAGGCCTCCACCTTAAAGAGACAAGGGACGTTTGCTAAAATGCACTTCTCTGGACCTCACCCCAGATTTACCAAGTTAGATCCTTGGAGGCAGAGCTGGGGATCAGCATTCTTAACAAGCTCTTCAGATGATCCTTAAATATGAACACTAACGACTGGTTTGAGTGTAGGGTGAGAGAGACTATGACCCATGTGGAGACTTTAAAATTGTAAGTCCAGCAATTACAGGGTCCACAGGGACCTGTGTCCTCCCCCATGGCTATAAGGGATCCTTCTGGTTGAGAATAAGAGGGAGGGAGGGGTGATGGTATGAAAAAACTCCCCTCCCCATTTCCTGTCTCCCACTCTGCAATTGCCACCATGCACTAGCATTTGGCAGGGAGCTGGAGGACTGACAGTCTCTAGAGGAGACCACACGAAGTGACCCCTCAGCAGTCCCCTACTCAGACATCTCTGCAGAGAGCCACGCTCCACTGTGAAGGCGCTGCAGATGCTCTGGAAAGGCCCAGGACTGCAGGAGCACGTCCGCCGGGCTTTGAACACACCTCGCATGGTGCCTGGCTGTCAATGATCTCCTTCCTGGTGGGGTCTGTGTCCTCTTGGAGAAGAAGGTTGCGATGAGGTTGCCCCCTCCATCAGTAAGGCTGCTTCTAGCCTCTACCTCGGAGGTCTCCATCCTCTCAGGCTGTTACCCACTGCAAGGACCAAGGTCACCTGGGACTTACACACAACCCTCATCCTCCTTCCCAGCATGAGTCACTCCCAAAGGATAAGCCTCGGCCTTCCGCATAAGCTTCATCTACACTTTTCCTAGTCTCCCAACTCTCTCTTCCTCTCTCATTATCGCTTCTCTTTCTCTACCATATCTTCCAACACTTAAAGAGGCTTCTTATTGTTAGGTGCTGTCAAATTGACTACAACTCACAACAAGTCTATGAAAAATGCATTAGAAGTTTGCCCTACCCTGCACTATCCTTAGAGATCCTTGGGTGGCACAAATTATTTGCTCTCAGCTACTAACTACCCAGAAGTGCCAGAGAAGAAAGGCCTGGCAATCTGGTTTGATAAGGACCACAGCTAAGAAAACTCTAAAGATTGCAGTTCTACTTTGTAGCATATAAGGTCACCATGAGTTGGAATCAACCCAATGGCAACAGTTTTTTTGTTTTTACCAGCATTTGAAACCTTTCCCCTTTCATCCCTCTTTGCCTGGAATCTGTGTGGGGAGCAAACTGTTGACGGTTTACTAAATTCATCTGTCTGTCACTTTGACTCAAGATAGCCAGCCACCACCCTGGACATCTCTAGCGTTCCTAGCTGGCATCTTCTCTGTAAGATGAAAAACATCACGCAGATCCCAGTGATTTTTCTCTGGTGTATAATCTCCCCATTTCACTGTAGGCAAAAATGAAATTCAATCCCATGATCCCAAACCTAGGAAGAACAGGTTTTATGATTCCTGGTCTTGCAAGGTCTCAGCTTCTAGCTGGGTCCGCTCTCAAACATGCCCTCTCCACTTCAGCTCTGTAGGTGGTAGCTCTCCTGCGTCACCCACTCATCTCTGCGGGTGCCCTCTGTGGGTGGCAGCTCCCTCTGAGTCCTCATTTACTGACTTTTGCTCTTAGGGCTTCACTAAGTGTGCAGTGACTTAATGATCTCAATTCTGTTCAATATGAGCCACCGCCCCATTATTTTTCTTATAGAGGAGGAAAGGAAAGCTCAGGGGAGCCAGCCCTGCTGGGGGATTGCATGCGCTGCATTTCTAGCTGACTGGGTCAGGCAAGCCCGCCCACACTCTGCTGCTCCTGCTGCTCCAGGCAGGTGCTCATGATACTCTGGGGGTGGAGGTGAGGGCACCTAACTTGCCCAGATTCGCGAAGGCGGCCTGTGAGGGACCAAAGGACAGTCAGACGCAGTCACAGACGTGCAGCTATGAGTGTAGTCACTAGGCTGTCTGCAATCAGCACAGAAGTTTTCTGACTCCCTACAGATTCTGAGCTGGCCTAAGAGAGCAAAGGTGCATTAAGGGGCATCTCCCCCCTTCCTACCTTCCCTTTCTTGTGCTTTTGCTGACTCCTGGCTGGCTTTCTTTCCATATACATGCATTAAGGGCCTCCTGTGTGCAAGGCACTATGCTAGGGAATAGGTCTAAGTGGCAAGTGACACAAGTACAGTGTCTATCCTGATAGAAGAGACAAATATTACACGTTGTTGTTATGTGCTATAAAGTCGCCTGCGACTTATAGCAACCCTATGTACAATAGTTCTATCCCTGCCCTATCCTGAACCAGTCTCAGTA